CTGGAGAAGACAAAAGCTGCATGTTTGTAAGAAACAAATCCATCGTTAAGATGTTTTTAACTTTAAATCATTGCTTCTGGCCAAAATGCATGTCCATAATTCAGAATAAATAGTGGTCTGGTCTTTATCAGGAGAGAAATGTGCACAGATCAAGCACTGTTTGCATGCCAAAACAGTCCCAAAAATGTTCTAAACAAATATGTGGGTGGATTTTTATGTGAGAGACAACAGGACATGGACTTTTTAACTGGAGGAAGTGCTATTATGGATTATGGAGTCGTATTTTAGCCGGAAGCAATGGTTTAAAGTTAAAAAACGTCTTGATGATTAATTTGTTTCTTACGAACACGCAGCTTTTGGCTTTTCAGGATGTTATCTGATGGACTGGAGTGGTGTGGATTACTTGTGGATTATTGTGATGTTTTTATCAGCTGTTTAGACTCTCATTCTGAAGGCACCCATTCACTGCAGAGCATCCATTGGAGAGCAAGTGATGCAGTGCTACATTTCTCCACATCTGTTCCCATGAAGAAACATCTTGGATGACCTGAGGATGAAAACATTTTCAGCAAATGTAAATTTTTTGGTGAATTATTCCTTTAATGCACGCCAATACAGTACCTCGGATACTTTCAAATCCATACCATAAAGTGAACAAAAATGAGTGAAGGTTTTGGCTGTGTGGTGCTGTGCTTCTGTCTATTCCAGCAGGCATTACTTGGCTCTGCTTGAGAGATGCCTGTTGGGCGGAGCTATACTTTGCCCTTTGACCTGACTCTATGCATATGCATCCTTACATCGAGGCCTATCCCGACTGATCATTCCTTATTTTCTGGTGTTTTCCCGTCATTTGGGAGCTGCCTCTTTCTGCCTGAGTTTTTGCATCTGGGAAATTCTGTGACTATTTTAATCAGATTTTCTTCTTGTCTGAATCTTGTCAAGCCTTCATGTCACTCTGAGCATGTTCATGTTTGTCAGTCAGGTAAGTGTACGTACGCTTGCTGTGTCTGATCCTGTATATGTGTGATTATGTGCATATTCCTGCAGTAATTTGAGCTGATCGGTATGTCATTTCGAGTGGCTCTGTGGCTGATTATTGTATGCCTGGCTCTACTTTAAACTTTGTTTGTGCTGCTAAACCAATCAAAGCGTGAAAAGTGTAAAGAATGATGTCAATGTGTAATGAGTAGCAGAAATATTTATTACTTTTGGATTGCTTTTTAAGCTAGATTTGCATAAGGAACACCCATAATGAAAGCAATCAACTTAAAGGAATAGTTCACAAAAAATTATTTGCTCACATCGTTCCAATGACTTTCTTCTGTGGAACACAAAAAGAGATGTTTTGCAGAATGTCCAAGCTGCTCTTTTACACACAATGAAAACAGACAGTGATTCACACTGCCAAACTCCAAAAAGGACAAAAACAAAAAACACCATTAAAATGTGTGCACTATATTCTAAGCCATGCAATAGCTGTGTGTAATGAGCAGGCCAAAATGTAAGACATCTTTCACTAAAAATCATTCTTTCTGCACATTTACTGTTTTATTTTTTATTTATCTGTTCTTCAAACAAAGCTATAACGACCTCTGTGGAAAAAGAAGTGTGCTTAATTATATTGAATGTGCACTTGTAGTGTACTTCAAATTAAAAGTATATTTAAAAAAAAAAATACATTTAATAATGAAAAAATAGCCACTTAAGTACACTTAAAGAGATATGCTTTTATGACTTTCTTAACACACTTAAGTACAGTTTTAAAAAGTGTAAAATGTCTAATTAAAGTTTTACTGTGAAGTACATTATAAATCATTGTGATTTAATAATCTTTAAAATCTAAAGAAAAAAATATATATTGAAATTTCTTAATTTAAATTAAAAAAAAACAATATTTTAAAATAACATATCCTAAGTTTTTTTTATATTTTTTTAGAAATGCAACATTTACAATTACATTAAAATTATATTAAATGTAAATGTGTATACTCACACAATTACATTTAATATAATTTTAACTTAAAACTTATTGTAAATAACATGCAATTAAGTGTCTGTAAACATTACATTCAGTTCACACTTAGGTTTATTCTTTTAAAGCATTATTTCTGTCATAGGTTCTCTTTAAAAGTATGCTAAAATGTACTTCTTTTCCATAAGGGTATGGTTTCAGACTTGAGATTTAGAGTATGATTCATATAGACTGATTTTATTAATATCTTTATGGTCACTGTACGCTTTTATTGTATGAAAAGAGCAGCCTGATCATTCCTCTAAACTCCTGCTTTTGTGTTCCACAAAAGAAAGAAAGTCATAAAGGTTTCAAATGACATGAGGGACAGTGAATGATGACAGAATTTATTATTATCTTTTTTTTTGAGAGAACTATCCCTTTTAAGACAATTTAAATCACTATAAGGAGCGGTATGAACAGAAAAAAATATATATTGAAATTTCTTAATTTAAATTAAAAAAAAAAACAATATTTTAAAATAACATATCTTAAGTTTTTTTTATATTTTTTTAGAAATGCAACATTTACAATTACATTAAAATTATATTAAATGTAAATGTGTATACTCACACAATTACATTTAATATAATTTTAACTTAAAACTTATTGTAAATAACATGCAATTAAGTGTCTGTAAACATTATATTCAGTTCACACTTAGGTTTATTCTTTTAAAGCATTATTTCTGTCATAGGTTCTCTTTAAAAGTATGCTTAAATGTGTATACGCACACAATTACATTTAATATAATTTTAACTTAAAACTTATTGTAAATAACATGCAATTAAGTGTCTGTAAACATTACATTCAGTTCACACTTAGGTTTATTCTTTTAAAGCATTATTTCTGTCATAGGTTCTCTTTAAAAGTATGCTAAAATGTACTTCTTTTCCATAAGGGTATGGTTTCAGACTTGAGATTTAGAGTATGATTCATATAGACTGATTTTATTAATATCTTTATGGTCACTGTACGCTTTTATTGTATGAAAAGAGCAGCCTGATCATTCCTCTAAACTCCTGCTTTTGTGTTCCACAAAAGAAAGAAAGTCATAAAGGTTTCAAATGACATGAGGGACAGTGAATGATGACAGAATTTATTATTATCTTTTTTTTTGAGAGAACTATCCCTTTTAAGACAATTTAAATCACTATAAGGAGCGGTATGAACATGCTTTTATGTTCATAAATGATTGCATTTTTATTCGCATGCATGATCTGTTGCATGTTGAGATTCACATCCCAACCTGTATCTCTACGTAATGTTATTTTGTATTGTTTCCCCCCTCATAGCGCAGAAGGTGATCTCGGAGGAGAAGGACCAGTGTTTCCGTATCCTGAACCAGGGCTCCTGTTCTCTGCCCATCCTGAAGAACATCACCAAACAGATCTGCTGCTGCAGTCGAGTGGGCAAAGCCTGGGGCAAGAGGTGTGAGTTATGCCCGTACTTCGGCTCAGGTAAGAGACCTTTCAGACATTCAAAGAATGCTCTTTTCCTTTCAAACAACTGCATTGGAAAGAACATCTTTAATGCAGAAGTTTGGGCAATGAGTAAGAAGGCTGGATGACAGCACTGAGAACATTGCAATGTGTTAGTACAGAATATTGAAACAACATGATTTGTTTTTTACACAAAGAGTCCAACTGTTCCTCAACTGCTCTGTCCCACCCAAACCAGCAACAATATTTCTCTGAAAATGTCTGGAGGAATATCAAAGCAGTTGGAATATACTGTGTAATTTGTTCAAATACCACAAGTTTCTAGCATTGTCCCAGTTGACCCTCAATGTTTCTGGCTCGATTAAGAAACAAAAAAAATGTGACTCTACTAGACTTTTACTGTACATGGTTAGGGTTATATGTGTTTTTCAACTGTGTCCATTTCAGTGAATTATGTCTTCTTTTTATTATTTGAAAGCTGTTACACCCCTGTGAACAAGTAGTGTGCTTAACTGTATTGAATGTGCACTTGTAGTGTACTTCAAATCTTAAAAGTTTATTCTAAAAACTGTACTTGCAGATAATATAATATCAATGAAATAAAAGGCCACTTAAGTGACTTAAAGAGAGACACTTTCATGACTGTTTCTTAACACACTTAAGCCTTAACCCTCAGCTGGGCCACTGCCAAGGTATGTGCCTGTGAGTTACTGCATGACTTAAAACATGAGAAATAAGCAACACTGCAGACTTCCACTCTCAAGAAGAAAAATATGCATGGTATCATATCAGTGTACTTCCTAAAAAGGCTTTTAAATCATGTAGATATTACATGTTTCTTCCACACCTCCAGACCGCCCGCCATTTCTCCACAGCATATTTTAGATTGTTTTACGTAACTCAACAGTATTTCGCATTGTAAAAGGATTCCTCATTTTCTCATTGGTGCATCAATGCTTTTAAGGTCAAAGGTCAGGGTGGTATTGCTGAGAGGACAGCTAGATCACATATTTATCATCTCTGATTTTCAGCGCTTTAACTGTGTTAATTTGTTTTATGCACATGCATGACTTTGTAATGCGTTACTTGCAACAATAAAAGTTACTTTCAAATGAGGAGAAACACAAGCAATTTATCACATTGGAACCAGAAATATTAGCAGTACCACAATCAGGGTTATTATAGTTACCTAAATAAAAAAAAAGTTCACTATATATATATATATATATATATATATATAGACACACACACACATGTACATACACATCTATATATATATATATATATATATACTAAAATGAACAGCTGCGTTACTTGGAAAAAAAAAAAAACCTTAACTGAGATGAAAAAAATATAAAAAAACTTAAAGTTATTTTATTTCAGCTCATTTTTGTTTAGTTTAAGTACTAAAAAACTAAAACTAAATAAATTAAAACTAATAAATAACAAATAATAAAAACTAGTTAAAAAAAAATTTAAAAACCTAATAAAAATAACAAGCACATACAATTAAAACTTTAACGAAAAAATTTAAGTGAAAAGATAAAATATCAAAGTAAAACCTAATTTAAAATATTGACAAAATTTATAATTGTACATTGTAGTACAACAATACTGACTGTAATATAGAGTCAGAAGAAATCAATGATTAACTTAAACGAGTGCCTGCTGACGCCCCGGCCGTGTTCTGTGGGTCAGTGTCAGAATACAGCGGGAAGCTTCCGGTGCGTTTGTCCATCAGGATACCAGACCAACTCCCAGCAGACCCTGTGTGTCGGTCAGAAACATCTCATTCTCTCAGTGCGCTGGAGAAACACTGCCTAAGAGCATGTTTGTAAAATGTCGTGCATGTACTGTAATCACTGATGAGATCGATGGATTCCACAGATTTGGATGAGTGCCGTCAGGTGCCCAATCCCTGTGTTAACGGCCGCTGTGACAACACACTGGGCAGCTTCAGGTGTTTGTGCAGGACTGGATACAAGCTTCAGGACAACAGCTGCATAGGTCATTCAAATCATTTTACCCACAATGCTTGCTCACTTTTTCTTTGTTTTGTACCTTCTAACACTTTATTTTAGTGACAAAATGTTATATTATCCAATATTTTAAGACATTCATTTAATTACCATTCCATAGTTTGGGGTCAGAACGATTTTTTCTTTTAACGACACATTTAATGACACATTAAATCTCTGTTGCGAAGCAAAATGCTTTTGAACCTTCTATTTATCAAATAATCTTGAAAAGCATGCATCACGGTTTCCACAAAAATATGAAGCAGCACAACCGTCTTCAATATTGATAACAATCAGAAATGTTTCTTGAGCAGCAAATTAGAATGATTTCTGAAGATCATGTGACTCAGAAGACTGGAGTAATGATGCTGAAAATACAGCTTTGATCACAGAAATAAATTACATTTTAAAATATATTCTCATAGAAAACAGCTATTTAAAATTATAATAATATTTCACAATTTTTACTGTATTTTTTAATCAAATAAATGCAGCCTTGGTGAGCAGAAGAGACTTCTTTCAAAAGCATAAAAAGCTCTTACTGACCCCAAACATTTAACCAGTTTTGTATCTGATGACTCAATGAAAATGTACTGCATGATAGGAATGAATCATGTGTTTTCTGTCTCCAAAAATAGTATTTGTTAGGTTTGTTAAATTGTGATTTCAAATCATGTGGTGTTTTGTGCTCTTAGACGTAGATGAGTGTGTCGACCCCCTGCGCTGTCCGGGTCAGGAGTGTGTGAACTCTCAGGGCTCTTACAGGTGTGTCTCCTGCAAGCCGGGCTTTGATCTGCTCAACGGGCAATGTTCAGGTAACACACTGCTCACAAATATCAACAGATTGACTGTAAATATTTATTTTACAGCAAACTAATCTGTATTAGTCTGCTGTAAAGGGGCCCTGTTATGTTGTGAAAAAGACTGAAAAAAACTGAATGTAATGTTTTCAGACACTTAATTGCATGCTATTTACAATTAAAGGAAAATGTATTAAAGTTTAAAATTAATTGAACTTAAGAGCGCTTTTTAATCTTTTTAATCCTACTTACTTCTATTGTCTTTGAAATGTGGTTACTAAAGATAAGTTATTTTGAAATACGTTACTGCTGAATGTACTGACAAGCATTTATGATAAACTAAAATATACGTTAATATATATTTTGTCATTTAATGTCATAAAGATGAAGTTAGACATAGGTCAAGTTGTGACTTAATGTAGGTCAATATTTTGGCTTTTTACAACTTAATTTCAGCATCAACAAAAATATAGTAGAAATAGAAGTATATATTTCACTTGAGATAAAACTAAAAACATTTTGTTAGTCAATGTTTAATTTATTTACTTAATAAAAATAAACAGAGCTTTTAAAAACGTACTGTTTATTCTCATACATATTTTTTTTTAAATACTGCATGCATAATATTTTCTGTTATGTACTACAAAAAAATTATATTTAGTACATTTAAATTGCATATGATAACACACTATAGTTAAAATTATAATCAGGCGATTTACATGTACTTTAGTATGTTAGTCAACACATCAAAATAAGTGTACTTAAAAGCACCACAAAAGATTAAACATAATGATTTAACATGTACTTTAAAGTAAAACGTTTAATTTGACATTGTTACAAAGTGAACTTTTTTTAAAAGTCTACTTAAGAAACAAAGTCACGAAAGTGTCTCTCTTTAAGTGCACTTAAGTGGTCTTCATTAATATTATATTCTCTGCAAGTACAGTTTTCAAAATATACTTTTTAAGATTTGACGTACACGGCAAGTGCACATTCAGCACAATCAAGCAAAGTTATTTTACACAACAGTTTACAAGAGTGAAACCTTTCAAGGTAAAAGCAATGGTTCTCTTCTTCAGATATTGATGAATGTCGCCGGACGCCGTCACCCTGTCCGGATGGCCGCTGTGAAAACACACCAGGCAGCTACAGATGCTCATGTCGAACAGGTTACAGATTCCAGGTCAACACCTGTGTGGGTAAGAAGTGTAAAAGTGACTTAAGTCTAAATAATATACGTTTAGATGTAAAGTACGGCTGTGTTCCCGTGTGCATGGTTTGATATGCGTGATGTTACAGATGTGAATGAGTGTGAGGATCCATCCCAGTGTCCCGGACAGGAGTGTGTGAACTCTCAGGGATCGTATCGCTGTGTGTCATGCAGGCCTGGATTTAGCCTTAAAAACAGAGCATGTTCAGGTAACAATCACAAATCCATTTCAAATCACCAGCAAGTCACGTTCCTGTGCAATACGAACAGACCGTGAATGTAGGATGGTGTTGTGTGTCTAGATATCGACGAATGCCGTCAGATGCCGTCTCCTTGCTCTAACGGACTGTGTGAAAACACGCTTGGCAGCTTCAGGTGTGTGTGCAGAACCGGCTACAGACTGCAGGGCAGCTCCTGCACAGGTATGAGCATTCATGCAAACCAGTTATTATTAATGACTTAAGCACTGTGACTCATGTGTGTGTGCATGTGGACACAGATGTGAATGAGTGTGAGGATCCATCCCAGTGTCCCGGACAGGAGTGTGTGAACTCTCAGGGATCGTATCGCTGTGTTTCATGCAGGCCCGGATTTAGCCTTAAAAACCGAGCATGTTCAGGTAAATACAACAAGTCAAGTCACCTTTATTTGAATAGCGCTTTATACAATATTGATTGTGTCAAAGCAGCTTTACAACACATCTGGACTGAAATGTAACCATGAATGAACCATTATAATTATAAACCTGGACATGACCTTTATAACAACCAAAGTAAACTGTTATCCTGATGGAAAAACCACCCAAAAAATTATACTTTGGACCAACTTAAAAATGACAGCCAAATTGATCTGTTTTTCTCCAATTATATTTATGGTTTGGTTCAAATTTTGATTTATTATTAATCAAACATATTTATTTTTCCAAAGGCAAAAACCCTCATACGAAGTAAAATATAATTTATTATAAAGACCACTGTACTTAATCAATATATACTGTATATATTTTTAGACATGGACCAAATTGTTACTTAATGTAGGTCGATATATATATACTTTTTTTTTTTTTTTTTACTAAATTTCACCATAAACAAAAGCTACATTAGCTATAATATGAGTAGAATTGGAATTTTCACTTGAATTGAATTTTTTCTCAGAATTGGAGTTGATAACTCGAAACATGGAGTTTTTATCTCACAATTCTGAGAAAAGAAGTCAGAATTGTGAGAAAAACTGACTTTATAACTCGCAATTGCAAGTTTATATAATGCCATTGCAAGAATAAAATTAATTGTGATATATAAAGTCACAATTTCCTTTTATTTAATTATTTATTTATTAAGTGGTGGAAACAGGCTTCCATGGTTATGTACCAAAAATAAATAAAAATTAATACAAAACAGAAAAATTAATAAAATGTAGTTTTTAAAATTTCTGCAGGCAGTAAAGTAAATGACACTGTCATTTCACTTTTTTCAACTAAATAAATAAATAGTTCTGATTGAGCTAGATGGTCCACCAGGTTGACATCAGCCATCATCAACAGCTGGAAATCCAGTTGATCAACCACCTAAACCAGCTTGAACCAGTTTATGTCCAGCTTCAAGCAGCTGAAGATCATATACCGTATTGGCCCGAATATAAGACGACCCCCCTTTTTCCAGATGTACCTTTTGGAAAAAGGCTTTTTAAAAAACAAATCTTGTTTTTTCTCAGTAAAACACATTTTGTCTTCAATTATTTTCATATTGCATATTTTTCCTATTTTAATTTTTGTTTTGAAAGTATGGTAAAAACTGGTAAAATGTACCAACAATCACATTTAAAAAATATACACTTTTTGATATACCATAAAAAAAGAAAAACAGGTAGCCCATCTGAATTAGGACATTTAGGCTATCCATCTAATAGTAGCCTACCAAAATCTTATTAACAGTAGAAGTTAAATCTTACTGTAGTCTTCAAATCTGGGTACTGTCTTACGTTTTAAAATCACAAAGGGAGTTTGGTCCCATCAGGCTAACGTGACAGTCACGACTCATGCAGCTGTAAGCTTTTCTTTTTCTTTTGTTTTTACTCGCGATCTTTACAACACGCATTACATTACGTATTTCATGGCACACTCGTTTTATGCGGTTTTGGCGCCACCTAGTGTTGTGGGTGTATTATTGACGTCAAAGTCTAGACCCTGAATATAAGACGACCAGTTATTTTACACAACAGTTTACAAGAGTGAAACCTTTCAAGGTAAAAGCAATGGTTCTCTTCTTCAGATATTGATGAATGTCGCCGGACGCCGTCACCCTGTCCGGATGGCCGCTGTGAAAACACACCAGGCAGCTACAGATGCTCATGTCGAACAGGTTACAGATTCCAGGTCAACACCTGTGTGGGTAAGAAGTGTAAAAGTGACTTAAGTCTAAATAATATACGTTTAGATGTAAAGTACGGCTGTGTTCCCGTGTGCATGGTTTGATATGCGTGATGTTACAGATGTGAATGAGTGTGAGGATCCATCCCAGTGTCCCGGACAGGAGTGTGTGAACTCTCAGGGATCGTATCGCTGTGTGTCATGCAGGCCTGGATTTAGCCTTAAAAACAGAGCATGTTCAGGTAACAATCACAAATCCATTTCAAATCACCAGCAAGTCACGTTCCTGTGCAATACGAACAGACCGTGAATGTAGGATGGTGTTGTGTGTCTAGATATCGACGAATGCCGTCAGATGCCGTCTCCTTGCTCTAACGGACTGTGTGAAAACACGCTTGGCAGCTTCAGGTGTGTGTGCAGAACCGGCTACAGACTGCAGGGCAGCTCCTGCACAGGTATGAGCATTCATGCAAACCAGTTATTATTAATGACTTAAGCACTGTGACTCATGTGTGTGTGCATGTGGACACAGATGTGAATGAGTGTGAGGATCCATCCCAGTGTCCCGGACAGGAGTGTGTGAACTCTCAGGGATCGTATCGCTGTGTTTCATGCAGGCCCGGATTTAGCCTTAAAAACCGAGCATGTTCAGGTAAATACAACAAGTCAAGTCACCTTTATTTGAATAGCGCTTTATACAATATTGATTGTGTCAAAGCAGCTTTACAACACATCTGGACTGAAATGTAACCATGAATGAACCATTATAATTATAAACCTGGACATGACCTTTATAACAACCAAAGTAAACTGTTATCCTGATGGAAAAACCACCCAAAAAATTATACTTTGGACCAACTTAAAAATGACAGCCAAATTGATCTGTTTTTCTCCAATTATATTTATGGTTTGGTTCAAATTTTGATTTATTATTAATCAAACATATTTATTTTTCCAAAGGCAAAAACCCTCATACGAAGTAAAATATAATTTATTATAAAGACCACTGTACTTAATCAATATATACTGTATATATTTTTAGACATGGACCAAATTGTTACTTAATGTAGGTCGATATATATATACTTTTTTTTTTTTTTTTTACTAAATTTCACCATAAACAAAAGCTACATTAGCTATAATATGAGTAGAATTGGAATTTTCACTTGAATTGAATTTTTTCTCAGAATTGGAGTTGATAACTCGAAACATGGAGTTTTTATCTCACAATTCTGAGAAAAGAAGTCAGAATTGTGAGAAAAACTGACTTTATAACTCGCAATTGCAAGTTTATATAATGCCATTGCAAGAATAAAATTAATTGTGATATATAAAGTCACAATTTCCTTTTATTTAATTATTTATTTATTAAGTGGTGGAAACAGGCTTCCATGGTTATGTACCAAAAATAAATAAAAATTAATACAAAACAGAAAAATTAATAAAATGTAGTTTTTAAAATTTCTGCAGGCAGTAAAGTAAATGACACTGTCATTTCACTTTTTTCAACTAAATAAATAAATAGTTCTGATTGAGCTAGATGGTCCACCAGGTTGACATCAGCCATCATCAACAGCTGGAAATCCAGTTGATCAACCACCTAAACCAGCTTGAACCAGTTTATGTCCAGCTTCAAGCAGCTGAAGATCATATACCGTATTGGCCCGAATATAAGACGACCCCCCTTTTTCCAGATGTACCTTTTGGAAAAAGGCTTTTTAAAAAACAAATCTTGTTTTTTCTCAGTAAAACACATTTTGTCTTCAATTATTTTCATATTGCATATTTTTCCTATTTTAATTTTTGTTTTGAAAGTATGGTAAAAACTGGTAAAATGTACCAACAATCACATTTAAAAAATATACACTTTTTGATATACCATAAAAAAAGAAAAACAGGTAGCCCATCTGAATTAGGACATTTAGGCTATCCATCTAATAGTAGCCTACCAAAATCTTATTAACAGTAGAAGTTAAATCTTACTGTAGTCTTCAAATCTGGGTACTGTCTTACGTTTTAAAATCACAAAGGGAGTTTGGTCCCATCAGGCTAACGTGACAGTCACGACTCATGCAGCTGTAAGCTTTTCTTTTTCTTTTGTTTTTACTCGCGATCTTTACAACACGCATTACATTACATATTTCATGGCACACTGGTTTTATGCGTATTTGGCACCACCTATTGTTGTGGGTGTATTATCGACATGTCAAAGTCTAGACCCTGAATATAAGACGACCGTGTTTTTTCAGATGTATTTCCAAGAAAAAAACATCGTCTTATATTCGGGTCAATACGGTAATTCTGTTTTTTGCTGGACTTGAAGCCTATTGTATAATGAGTGAGTAGTTTCTGTGTCTCAGATATCGACGAGTGTCGCCAGACTCCTGATGTGTGTGTTAACGGCCGCTGTGAGAATAACATGGGCAGCTACAGCTGTGTGTGTCGCCCTGGATTCAGACTGGAGAGAAACATCTGCACAGGTGACCAAACCGTCAGAGCCGTTTTACTGGGCTAAACCTTCTCAAGCTCAACATGTGCCTACACTTTAGTACGTATTACGGAAATAATGTACTTTAAAAGAATATACTTAATTGTGAACTGAATTTAATGTCTTCAGGCACTTAAGTGCGTGTTATTTACAAATAAATGAAAATGTATATAGGTTAAATTTATATGAAATGCAATTAGCTGAACTTTAGAGCTTTTTTGGCCCACTTAAGTAGGACTTCAGTACATCTTTATATGTAATTTCATAATTACTTCTATTGTATTTAAAATATGGTTAAAGTTACTGCTGAATGTGCTGTCATTTTTTTTAAATATACTTAAATGTCATTTCTATTGAAACTTGTATGTCGTGTTTTTAAATATAGTTGTAATTACATATTTGTAATTTAGAACATTTAACGTTCTTCAGTTAAAATGATAATCAAGTACTTTACATGTGCTCAACGCATCAAAATAAGTGTACTTCTGCAAAGCACGACAAAATATTTAAACAATTATTTAAAATGACCTTATATTAAAAACTGACATTATTACAAGTGCATTTAAGTCTACTTAAGTGTGTTTAGAAACATAGTCATTAAAGTCACTTAAGTGGCCTTTTATTTAATTAATATCATATTATCTGCAAGTACAGTTTTTAAGTATATACTTAAGACATGCAATACAATTAAGCACACTGCTTTTTCACAAGCGGTCATTGCCAACTTCACCCACAAATGTGTTCTATTCATGAACTATTGGTTCTGGTCTGTTTCTTATCTTGTTCCAGATGTGAACGAGTGTGAAAATGAGCTTCAGTGTCCAGGAAAAGAGTGTGTGAACTCGGTCGGCTCCTTCAAGTGTGTCTCCTGTCAGCCGGGCTTTGAGCTTCTTGACGGGCAATGCCAGGGTATCACTTTCGTTAACAAATAACATTGATCTGATATGAAAACAATAAAGGAAAGTGGATATTTATGTAGTTTTTAATGCAATTATGGGACACAAAGTCACAATTTTTAATCAATCAATCAACATTTATGTCTGTAGCACATTTGAAGTTGACCACCGTGCTTTTTACACTATACCAAAATGACCACACAGACGCATAATAGAGAATTATGAGATATTACATTGATGTTTATGGTTGGTGTTTCTGTAAGTGATTTCAGATACTTTTCTAACTTTCTAACCACATGCCTTCTCTCCAGAAGATGAGTCACATTTATATAGCGAATTCATATCCATTCAAAGCAGCTTAAATGCATGGTTCGGTGTTACAGCGTCTACATTCTAGCAAATCCGATGTTAAAAATCTTGAATGTGCAAAATGTTTCAAATTGACTGGTCTTCTGACTCTTTTTTTGTTATTGTTTGTTATTTCACAGAGACTGTTGTGTATGGGAGTCTGGTCCATTAACGGGTTTTGAATGTGCACTGTGTTTTCAGATATAGATGAATGCAGTCAAAAGCCCACGCGCTGCACTAATGGCCAATGCATGAACACTCCCGGCAGCTTCAGGTGTGTGTGTGACCTGGGCTTCAATCTACAGGACGCCACATGCACGGGTAAGAGAGCTCTAAAACCATAAAAAAATTGTTCTTTGAAATTAAATAAACGTTAACTGAAATAAAATGTTAAAAACGCAAACTTATTTTATTTGAGCTTGTTGTGAATGCTAATTTCTACTTTTCATTTAGTTTAACTTGGTGAACTAAACTAAATAAACTAAAACTAATAAATACAAAATAATGACAACTATATACTATATACATATAAAATTACAAAAACACAGCTTTAAGCTTTAAACTGTAACCAAAATGAAAGGGAAAACAGAAAATATAAAATAAATTTGAATTCAAAATATTAACGAAAACTAGTATATGAATGATACTAAAACAACACTGCTTGAAATAAAATAAAATAAATTCAAAATAAAATAAAATAAAATAATTTTAAATTCAATTCAATTCAATTCAATTCATTTCAATTCAATTAATTCAATTCAATTCAATTCAATTCAATTCATAAAACTAAAACTTTACTAAAATTTTAACCAAAATTAAAGTGAAAACAGAAATTATAAAACTAAAATCAAATTCAAAATATTAACAAAAAACTATAATTGCATATCAATGATCCTAAAATAACACTACTTGAAATAAAATAAATGTTAACTGGGGAAAAAAAAAAATATATATATATATATATATATTTTTTTTTTTTTTTTCCCACCTACTTTCCAAGGCACCA